CTAACTGGAGTGAATTGATTATAGTAGAAATATACAAGAAGGGCAGTCATACCGACTCTGATAACCACAGAGGTATTCGCCCAACGCTGGGAGTGAAAAAATTGCTAGCCTAGATCCTCATTCGTCGCCTCACTGCGGAACGGGTATCCCGGAGTAGGGAAGGACAGGCAGGTTTCCGCCCAGAACGGGACTGTATAGACCACATATTCACTCTTCGGTGGATGCCAGAGCAGCCCTACACGTACCGCAGGCGGATAATAGTTGTTTTCCTAGACCTCAGAAGTGCGTTCGATTCAGTCGATCGATGCATGTTCTTTGGAGTACTTGCACAGAAAGGTATTCCCACAAACATATGAATATTTTAATTTTCCTGTACTCCATTATCACAGGCCGCGTTAGGGCCTACGGTGCCCTGTCCCACATCTTTGTGACAACGAGTGGCGTCCGTCGGGGTCGCCCAACTTCCCTATTTTTTGTTCAGTTTCGTCGTGGACTCCATCATATAGTGTTACATTGCGGAGCATGACGACGCAGGCGTTGAGGTGCCGCGTGGTTTAAAGTATAGTTGCTCCTGACCATATAGACGATATCGTCTTGCTGTTTAAGGATGTTGGCGAGGCCCAATCAACCTAGCATAGCCTCTTCTGTGTGGTCCCATTATTTGGTATACGCTTCAAAATGTAGAGTTGCTGCATGGTCACCAACCACTTGATGACCTCTTGACCCTCGATAGCGGGGAACTCAAGGTCTTCGATCAATTCGTTTATCTTGGCAGCTGCATCAGCAACGATGAGCGCATAGCAGCTGAAGTCAGTTCACGCACTGTAGAAGCTAGAACTGACTTTTGAATCTGCGACATCTCTGGCGTCAGATGGTTTCCCTCCGTCCTAAATGCCGTGTTTACAAGGCCACAGTGGGGGCCGTCCTACTCTATGGTATTGGGCCATTGCCTCTACGATCTGAAGCGCCTTTAAGTCTGATCATCATTGTTTGCGAAGCCTTGCTGTTCTCAGTTGGCACCAGCGTGTCCCCAAGGATGATGTGCGTAGGCGAGTGCTTGGCAATGTTAATCAGGCTAATTCTTTAGAACAACAGATATCACTGAATAAGTTGCGTTGGATTGATCATGTACTACGTATGCCTGCTCACCGCTTACCTGGAAGGGCGTTGTTTAGTCTGCCAGATGTGGAGTAGTGCAAGCCTCGAGGTGGACAGAACTTGGTCGCGGGAAATAAAGTCACTGACGACCAAATTTGGCGCTGTTGGTCCGTCTCGCCTTTCAGGTTGTTGTCCACGTGACCTATCTTGTGTTTGGTTCTAGACTTTACTGGACATGACTCGCACTCGGCACCAGTGGGGTGTCTGCTGTCGTCCCCTGGCGGGATTACCTGTTTGAAGTATGTTTGGCGGGGGAATGGTTGATTATGGCGTGGGGCAGTAAAAGCTGCAAGTAGGCTGTCTCGCTAATTCCACGTTATCCTTGCACGATAGCCAGCTGTTTGTGACAATCCGTTGTTAACACAAGGTGTAGGCGCTTTGACCCTGTTTGTTTAGGACATTAAGGCTTTACGCTAGGTTTTTCTCTCACACTTATTATTCCTCGTTCCGTAGGTCACCGTGATTGTATGGCAGGAAGGCATCAACCCAATTGGCTGATGTAATGCTGTTGATGATGCTGATCGGAATAACCTTTGCCCCTTCCAAAAGCAATGCTTTCTTCCAGGACTGATTAGAAGTTACACATACCCTCACCCATTCCGTCTCTTCAGTGTACAAGAAGGGCAGTCGCACCGACTGCTAACCACAGAAGTATTCGCCCAACGCTGGGGGTGACAAAATTGCTAGCCTAAATCCTCGTTTGTCGTCTCACTGCGGAATGGATATCCCGGAGTAGGGAAGAACAGGCAGGTTTCCGCCCAGAACGGGACTGTATAGACCACATATTCACTCTGCGGCGGGTGCCAGAGCAGCCCTACACGTACCGCAGGCGGACAATAGTTGTGTTCCTGGGCATTTATTGCTTTATACTTATATCCGGTCTACGAGTTATATATACAGTTAGGAAGTGCAGTGTGGAGAGGGTGGATAATGTTAGTGGATAGTTTAGTGCATGGATTAAGGTGCATAGATACAATTGTTCTAGGCAATGTTGGCTTTAGAATGCCACTGCAACGAGACAAGTGCTTCAGTGCCCTCTCAAGCAGCTTACACAGTAATCCTTGAAGGATCACAAAAGAGGCGTTAGTCTAGTGTGATAGAATGCACGCAGTGGTGAACTTCGAAATCAAATTGCATAGTACGCAGCATGATTGCAATCGAGCTACGTTAAACGAACGTCGCCTGACTTTGGTGAATATTTGACTCACTGGGAGTGACCACGACACTCGTGGCTCACTGTAACCCCAAGATACTTCACTGATGTAAAGAAGCGCAAACTGTCAATTTCAATATGATGTTTGGGACATCCCATGACCTGTTCCTGGTAACGAGCTGCTTTATGAAATGAACACCGAATGTCCTTACTTTTGGACTCGTTCAACATCACGGAGCAAGAGTTTGCACATTTCACTAATTCGTCTAAACAACTTTGCAGCTTGGCTGAAGAGGCCGAGGTTTGATGAATCACGCCAATGATAACGTCATCTGCATACTTTAACAGAATGGTTTTCCCCAAGATTGGCAAGGACTGTCTCCTGTGCTGACCCTTGGTGGGGACCAGCTAGAAGTCGTTCAAAAGTTCAACTACGTAGGTAGTTGTATCAGCGCCATTGGAATTAAGGACGTGGTCACAAACCGTATAGAACAATTACGAGATGCTTTTGCTAGCCTTCGGCACCTATGGCGCCGGTGCGATATCACTCTCTCATTGAAGGGCAAAGTGTACAATGCAGCCGTACGTTCGACCCTACCGTACGGTTGTGAAACCTGCCCATTAGATCGGCAGAAGTAAAGAGGCTAGTTACGTTCGATCACCGGTGCCTTCGCAGTTTGGCTCATATCTGGTGGGAACACCGTGTGAGCAATTACTGTGTTCGACGCCTTGTTTATGGCCCAGGAAGAAGCGAATCACTGAGCATCGTTATTTCACACACCAGTCTCCGATGGCTGGGCCACGTGCTGCGCATGCCGGCCCCCTGACTCCCGCGACGTGCGCTGTTTGCGCACCGGGGGCACGCATGGAAGAAGAGGTGTAACCAAGCAATGACTTGGTCAAGAGGAATGAAGGCCCTTACTTCGCAGTTGGCCTCAGTTTGAACCTCCCGGCTCCCTGGTTGGGGACCGAAGGACGATGAACACGTTTGGCTGAGTACACCTGTTGACATGACTAAGAGCCGACATCAATTGCGATTGTATTGTGAGTTTTTTTGTTCCTCCCCCTCCAACCCCGATCTCATTTCTTAGTCATGACATAACTTTTTTTCGCTGCACAATAGCCATCTGTTAGCTCTCCGGAACGATGTCCATCTGTTACTGGTGGCTCAGCCGGCGCGCCTCTGTTACGTTTTTCGTTTTATATTGTGGCATAATAGCTGAGGTGTTTTCCACCTGCAGCTAATGTGTATAATGATAATGATGGTTTCTTCTTGGACAGGTATAGAGCTAACGCAAGTAAAGAACAAGAATTGTAACAAAATATCTCTTTGAAGGACACTGGATGTTGGGGTAATTGGTGAGGAGCTTTTATCACCAAACTGGTGACCTGAGAACGTTTGACAAAATAATCCTTTAACACTAATACTAAACACCTGTAGATCTTGCAACAGCAGTCTGCAGTCAACACAGCCAAAAGCATTGCTGTAGTCCACGAAGCAGATATGTGTGGAGTTGCTCTTTCTATCTAGCAACAACAAGACTGAATGCACTAGACAAACCACTGCATCTTGTGGGGATCTTGAATTTCTATATGAAAACTAATATAGGTCATCCAAGTGAGGCCGGTGGCCGAGTGGTCTACGTGTTTGCTTTGCAACCATAAGGTCACCGGTTCGAATCCGCGTAGGGGTGGGCGTCCTCGCGGTATACTCAGCCCGCGCGCGACTGGTGGTGGTGGCGCGGCAGCGAAGTGCCGTTACGGCGTACAGCTGACACATTATTATTATTATTTTTAAGTGAGGCTGGAACAGTATTTTTTCAATAATGATTTTCTCAAAAATCTTCAAAGCCATTGTGATGGATGCTAGGCCGATATTTACCCGCTCCTTTTTCGGTACTCGCCTTATGCTGGCAATCATCCAACCATCCGCGATTTTTCCTTGCTTTAAGTACATTGTGTGTAGTTCGGCCACACACATGCCGGACTAAGGTATCCGCACACTGCTTGAGGACAATGGGTGACAGCCTGTCAAGTCCGCATGTCTTGCCTGAGTGCATCTGGGTTAGGTTTTTGTGCAGTGATGCGGCGTTGACGGGAAGTAATGAGTCCGTAGACCACTGAAACGGTGCAGCTAATGAGTCTGAGAACAAGTCACTGCTGATGCAGCAGAAGTTGCGACTTACTTCTGTGTCCACATAAGACGTTGTGATCTGACGGGTGACTCCGCTGAGCTGTTTCACCATTCGCCAAACTTCACGACAACTATTGTTCCCCAGAACTGTCTGGAGATAGACATAACTGAGATTGTACACTTCTTCCTTTACACGAACAGCAAGGGACTTCATTAAAACACGATCTCTGTTTTGTGGCTAGGGAGCTTCTTAAGATGAGGTGAAGAGAAGCGATCCGCACGGATGAATTTGGTTTCTATCAAGCGGCAGACATCATGAAGAAGTTCAGATAACTTTCGCCTGGTCACAGTATGTTAATATATCTGTATCGAAAAAAATCTTCACTAGTTTTATTGTATGGAACAAGTGGCTATGATATATCGCCTTTGGTTCGATTCAACACCTTGCTGCGCTTTGACTAATCTCCTCCGTCTGTGTCTGGGATTACTTCTCTATGAGTAGTCGCGACCGTACTGAGCTCTATACATTTACCCTATTTCAATTTTCTACTGCAGGAACGCTACGCAATTGTAAATAGATTTTGCTATGGCCAGGAGGCGTAACGTTTCCGCTGAAGAATCCGATGCACAGGTTTGCACTTATCTGTTCATATGACAACTATTTCGACTAGAAGACCACTTGCTTTGCAACTCCCACCGTCTATCATGCAGCTATCGTCATATTTCTTGAATTTTTTGCCTTCGGTCTTCTTACTACTCCGATGATATCCGTAAGTTACTCTAATCCGTTTCACTCTTAGGTTCTTGATGAAACCTTCCCCAAGCACACCTTTCTTATGAACGGAATAATCCAAGGCGTAAAAGGCTTCCTTTCGTTTCTCAGCGCACCTTTATTGGGTGCTCTTTCTGATGCCATTGGACGGAAACCTTTTCTCCTCTTGACTGTTACGTTCACATGTTCCCCGATCCCTCTAATGAAAATTAGTCACTGGTGGTACTTTACAATGATCAGCATTTCTGGCGTTTTCGCGGTCACGTTTTCAGTGGTGCTAGCTTATGTTGCCGATATAACCACTGAGGAGGAAAGGAGTTGGGGTTATGGGCTGGTGAGCGCTACTTTTATTTCCTTCGTGTGTCCCTATTATTTTCGTTTTGGTGAAGAGTGAGCTTTAGTACACTCGTCTTACCTTGTCTTTGCGAGTACTCATTGCTTCTTTTTGTTCTCATTTATTTGGCTTATGACTTGACTAACACCAGGCCGATTTGTATGTATGCGCCGCTCTTTTTATCCAACTTTACACAGATTCACCCCCTCCACACTGTGTAATCTTCGTCCTGTTACTTTATATATGGGACTTTGTGGCCTACCCCTCCGTAAACGTATACACTGCTTAAATGAACAGCGCCAACACGCCCAATTAATAAGCACCCAATCACTCTTTTGTTCGCTACATTGTGCCTTTTGATTCAACGTCTTGAAGTTTCCTTGAAACCGATTGAGGATTCATGTTTTATTGTAATTTTGATGTTTTTGTCCCAGTAGCTCACAAGCTACCTACGTTCCGCCCAACGAGCCATACGGCGCTGCTTATTGTGAATCAGCGCACCCGCGCTGTCTTACTGTCTCACTGACGCCTGGATTCCTGGGACCAGTGGTGCGTATTAGCTGGAAGAGCTTCCGGTAATTGCCTACTGCTCCTGCCTCCTCCATTTCTTGAGCCTTATTGGTCCGCCAGGCTTCCTTGTCAGCACGTAGGCTCCGCTTTAGTTCACGCCTAATAGGCTGTCTGGTCACATTGTGTTCAGAGCCAGCCGGGAGGTTTCTTCTAGATTCCAACAGGTTCACCGACCTCTCGGATATCCAGTGACTGGTGCGGTGACGATTGATGGTGCCATAAGCAGATGCTCCTGCGTCGTGCATAGCGACCGAGATCCTATTCCACTGAAGCTCAGTGTCATTAGGACAAGATAGCGAAAGTTCGGTATGCAGTGCCTCTTGATAGGCTTGCCTGACCGAGGGCTGAGACAATTTCTCAATTACCAATCGGGCGAGACGATTGGTGCGCCTCCCTGTAAAGTTCATGGAGAAACGACCGCATACCAAGGCATGATCAGAGTCGACACAGGTACTCCAACACCAGCGACAATCTAGGATGGAACCACGCCATCTGTAACTTATGGCTATGTGGTCAACTTCGATCCATCGCTGGCCAGCTACAGTAAGACGTCAAGTGGCACTTCGACGCCCACTGTGTCTAAAAGCAGTGCTACTAAGAAACAACTGGTGCTCCGCACACAGTTGCAGCAGACGCTCACCGTTGTCAGTCCGTTCGGAGTTAAGCCCATATTTACCACCCAGCTGAGCTTCTGAAGAGCTCAGATGCCCTATTTGTGCGTTCATATCCCGTGCAAGTACTATTATATCTGAACTAGTAGCACTGCGCAAAAGCGCTTTCCGTTCGTGATAGAATGTGTCCTTGAGAACACCTGAACTGCAGTCGGTGGGAGCATAAGCGGTAATCACAAACAAACAGCCTTTTGTACTACTTCGTGAATTAACTTTGGCTGATGTCGTCAAACGGACTGCACATAAACGGTTATTCACCGGAATCCAATCAACCAACGATGGTTCAGCCTTGGAGCTTAGAATGATACCTACACTAGCTTGACCCGTGAGTGCTGCATCGGTGTCGTCGGATGCGTACAACCAATAACGAGAGAATAAGCCGGGTGCAGTTAATTCAACAAGTCCATTAGGTTCATTGATCCTAGTTTCGGACACACAACACACATCAATACCCAGTGTCTCCAAGGTGCGTGCGAGTGCAGCCTGTTGACCTGTTTGTCTTAGAGGGCGGAAATTGAACGTCGCCATGGAAACGGGACAGCGTGGTCTTATAAGGGACTTTTGCCGATAGGCGTCCGATAGGTGCTGTGGGATGGTGGCTGCAGATGGTTCTACTCCAGTGGCACTTCGGTTGCTGTCAATTAAGCTGGGAATTATAGAAGGAAGGTTAGTATTGGGGGTCGGGATGGGAGTAAGAGGAAAAGGTGAAAAAAAAAGGGAGGCGCCAGCAGTAGCATGTTTTCGCTTATCCGCCCTACTGTATGCAGCAGATAAGGCGACCCTTGATAATCTGCGCGACGGCCGATGCAGGATGAAGTTTATGTTTGAAGAAAATGTCATGGTTGTATGTGGGCTGAGATACTGCCAGGGCGTCCGGACCTATACAGGAGGACGATTAGGGTCCTCATCCAAAGCCTTTGGCTCAAAAGCCTGTCCGCAAGGCAGCGGGGAGGTGGCAGTGATTTAGTTTTACCGAAATGGACGCCATCCTATTTCAAACCGCCAACCTGGAGGACCAGGAGACTGAGTTTGTCTGACCTCTCATCATTGACCAACCTGGTAGAAGTAGCTCTCAAGGTGCCCAGAGGCACCACCCAGTATAGCTCAATGGGTCAATGAGGTCGGCAAACCGTCGCACCACGTTAAGGTCCAGTCTCGTTGCGACGGGACATCTATCGCCAGATATCTAATCGAAACAGGCCATCAGGTTGACCCTGGGTCAACCTTTACAGTTATCTATCGAAATGAAAACCTCGAAGTTTTGGGGTTTGCTGAAGCGGTGGCACTTAACTGGCATCGCCCTACCTTTTGTGTACAGAAACAATTAACAGTCTCCCTAAAGCTTCCTTGAGGCTCATGACCCTAAGGTCAAGCTCGTCGATTTGTTATTTTTGCGTCTACGTAATTTCGCTTTGTGCCCAGTTTCAAACCTTCGATATTTCTGTCACGTGGTTCATATTTATGTTGTTAGTTAGCGAGTGAGCAGATAACACGAAATGGTTCCATCTCGCATAACCAGTCTTCTCATTGTGTTATTTAGCAATTTTATACAATTGCTTTGACTTTTTTATTATTTGGAAGTCTGTTATACGCTCTATCTATGGTGACAGTTTAGTTAAGAAACAACTTTTACCTCTTTACAGATCATTTAACGCTACAAAGACGGAATGCATTTTCGCACAATTTCTTGTACCAAATTAAACTCGGTCGATATGCAGCGAAAGCTGTTTTGAATATATACAGGGCAGTTGGTGCCTGAACCGCTAATAACCATAGGGCACAATGATGGTTTCGTAAGTCTCGGAAAGATGACGAGAGACTTGAAGATAAGGGGCTTTGTGGACGGCCATTGGACGTGAAAATCATCATCATCATTATACACCTTAGCTAGAGGTTGGAAACACCTCAGCTACTGTGCCCGTAATACATAAATGGAAATAAATACAACAGTTGCATGTCAGCTGAGCTACCAGCAGCGGATAGGCATCGTTCCGGTAAGCTACCAGCCGGCTACTAGGCAAATAGAAAAATTATTATGTGAAATTATATTACACTACGAAATGAGATCGTGGTTGAAGGAGGAGGCGAAAAGGTATGGGGAGGGACAAAGAAACTCACAACACGAACGCCACTGGGGTCGGCTCCTATCCATGTCAGCAGGTGTATCCAGCCAAGCGTGTTCATCGTCTTTTGTACCCTAACCAGGGAGCCGTGACGCTCCAACAGAGGTCAGCTCCGAAGTGAGGGTCTTCATTCCTCTTAACCAAGTCATCGCTTGGCCACCCCTCCTCTTCTTCCATCCACACCCCCGGTGAGCAAACAACGCACGTCGCGGAAGTCGGTGGGCTAGCATGCGCAACACGTGGCCCAGTCATCGGAGCCTGGTTCGTAAAATGACGGGGTTGAACGGTTCGGTTCCTTTGGCTGTGCCGTAAACAAGGCGTCGAACACGCTCGTTACTCACCTTGGAAGTGAAAAACGATCAAGTAATATCCTTAGTTAAATCGAATCCGCGTTCGACTATTCGTGATGTTGCTGCTGACTTGGCAGTATCGCATGTGACCGTTTTAAAAGTTTCATGGGAGATTGTAATGTCGAAAACTTGATACGTTGTGCCGTGCGAATTGTATGAAAACAAAGGAAATCGGCGTTTTATCTAGCGATTGCCCCTTTTCTGCGCAATAAAAACGACCCCTTTTCCGATTTCATTGTGACTTGCGATGAAAGGTACATCATGCACGACAATCGGCGACAAATCTCCCAGTGGTTGGACCACGAGCAACCTCAACAACCCTTCCCAATGCCGAAATTGCACTCAGAAAGGTTATGGTGACATTTTGGTCGTCTGCGAGTAGTCTGATCCATCACAGCTTTCTGAACCCATGCGAAACCGTTACAGTGGAGAGGCTTTTTCAACAAATTGTCGAAGTGTACCGAAGAATTGAACGAAAGTGCCCGGCACTGGCTGCATATCGGGGCCAATTATGTTCCATGATAAAGCTCAGTCGCACCTCGCACAAACAACTCATGCGAAAGCCGCACGAGCTGGGCTACGAAACTTTGCTTCACCAATCATTCTCTCCTGCCCTCTAGCTTACCGATTGACATTTTTTCAAGCACATGGATAACTTAAGAGAGGAAAGTTTTAAGACCCAAGGAGATGCTGAAACCGCCTTCTACGACTTCATCACCTCTAGAACTGCGGAATCTTATTCGGAATAAATTAACTTGTATCCCGTTGACATAAGTGTGTCAATTCAACTAGTTTCTATTTGGAGTAAACAAGTTACTTCGGAGCCAATATATGTGCATTTAAACATTAAGATTATAAAGCGCAATTTTATTACTAACCCAATATCTAGCAGCCTGGTTATGTGCATCGAAGCTTTCCATAGGACAGCTATGCTGTCATTTTCGCTGCCATAATTTTACTACATAAACTGTTGTCCCTGAAGGACTACATTCTGAGACATGATTTTAGAGAAAGCTAAAGCAAGTCACCGAACAGTGCTCAGTTGCACATCCGGCCGTTCAGGCACATGTGCCATAGAACATGAAAGAAAACAACTTGGCTAGTAAGTGGAAAATAGATCGGTTTACGCCCACTGGTGAATCTAAACTAACAACCGATGGCGCAACGCTTTGTGATTTATCGGCACACAGTCGGAGATGAATCGAGCAGCATGTTGGAAAAGATGCAGTACGAAAGGCCTGAAGACACGGCTGATGTATGGACAATTATCCGAAGATTCGTAGATTTCTGTGGGGGTTAGA